TTATTTGACACTAGACGGCGATGCCCACTTCTGTTGATAAGGGCCTTGTCATCTTTTAAAAAACAATTTTTTTAAATAGATAGATATAAGATTCTTGTTACAAGGATATTCATTAACTCAGTAGCTTTAATATCTTCACCATACCATATACCCAGTACACCAAGCTATTTCATATATAACCCCGTGTTAACCTATATGGTTTGGAATCATTCTGAAACCGTGTGTGTTTGATATTGATTGCGTGCTCAATACGTACAGCGAGCTATCAAGTTGAGCATTATATGTATGACACAGTCGTGGGAGGAATTTATTTTTAATCTATGAATGTAATAATGCAAAAACATTTTTCACAGCCACAGGACGTATTTTTAAAACAGACAGACTATGATAATTTTATATTTACTGCCAATTTTATCGGTGTCAAGGAGTGATTTTGTGTATTTTACTTTTACTTTAATGTTTCAGCATCCGTGTTGTATTTATCAAATTTGACATCTCTCCCCTCTTCGTCCCACAGTATCAATGACAGTATTGTGAGTTATATGTGTAGAGTAGATATAAAAGCTTGAGCATTTCCTGTCCTGAGAATTCTGTAGTGTAAAAAGTGTAAAAACGAAAACATGTAGTGACGAGTGAGATTTTCCAAAGCATAATTCCCATCGTCACATCTATAAAACCGGTTCTACCCTGTAACCTTTGAATAGGTCACATTAAACCACGTATCTTGAATTCAAATCACAATAACAGTAGGAGAGGGGTGTTAAGGTCCTGGTTCGATTTTGTTTCTTCGTCAACAAGCATTATTAGCGAAAATCGAATTTCTTTCGGATATGATTGCAAATCCAAGAAACGTATGACAAGTTACTGGTACATGTAATAAAGAATACAAATTTTGACTGAATGTAAATACCAAAAAAAAAACGCATACAAGGGGTGGGTGATAGGTTTTTTTTCCCCATTGCATTGACAGGCTCAAAAATGGCGCATTAAAAACAAAGATTTTGATTGGTCTAAAAAATCGTAAGTATTCGACGATGTAAAATTTAACAGATTTCTCATAAATTGAATTATCTTTTATTGGTTGATTGTGTAATCCGAAGTCCAGTGTCGCAGTACGTGCTGGCACGAAAAAGATCATTTGTTTTCTATTTTAGTAGCCTATTGTTGCGCTAAGCTATCCCTGGGTTCATAATTAAAAAAACTCTTCACTCTTTAAAGTTCCTTTTATTTAGTCATAAATACTTGTCTTTAGATATATCAAGGATATCAGCAAAAAATACTTCCATTCATACGTCCAACGAATATATACAAATGAATTTGATGCCACAGAGTATGGTAATCTTATTTTACTAGAAAAGGAAGTAAATGCATATGGTAATTTCCTGTGGTCCTGTTCTACTTCCCGGAGTAATGATTTGAACAATTTGAATTTACAATAAGTCTACTTGATGAGGTCTCAAAATTTACATGTATATAACTAAGTTCTAAATGAGTCTACTTGATGATGTCTCCAAATTTACAAGTGTACAAATAAGTATGGCTTTGCTTTTCTTTAATTTTTTCTCCATTTTTCTCTTCTTCGGAAAATTTAATATTTAGTTTTACTATACCAGAAAGAACTCATATACATGTAAAACCCCGGGATCATAATTAAAACAATTTTCTACACATATCTACACTATCGATTCTATCATATTCGAATCGCTAAGCATGGCTGTGCTTTTCTTTGAATTTTTTTTTCCTACAAACACCTACGTTACACTTTGATCACCCTTACATTGTGGCTCCACTTAACCCAAGAATTTCGAAGGATCATGACTTGCATTTCCATATACTTGAATTAATTAATTTAAAAGTAATAATTCTTCTACAAAAATATCTTTTTTTCTGACCCCATGGTAACTGACAAGATTGTTTTAAAGATATCATTATATTTTTTCCATTTTTTTTCTCCTTGAAAGAGGATGCAGCCCTTTGTTTGAACGAACTTAAATTCCCATTTCTATAGGATTTATGGAAATATTGGTTGACATTGGCCATGTGGTTCATAAAATTATCAGCATATTATGTTACAGTAACAGCACCTAATGTTTAATAATCAGAATATAATGCTAAATTATTAGAATATTTAAAAAAAACAAATGCATATATAATGCTAAAGCATCGTCATTTACAAAGTATCAGATTTTTTCATACTAAATATCATAAAAGCATGAACGTAATAGACATGAGGCACTAAGACGTTCTTAATTTTTTTTTATACCCGAAGTGACAATAAAGTAAAACTTTTTCGGAAAAGTATTCGATTTGGGTTTTTTGCTACTGAAATAAAGATACAAATAAAAAAAAATAATGCTTAAAAAGATCACAAGTCTTTAATTCTGTCTATGGTAATCAAAACATATTGCAATCATTCACGTTGAAACCAGTTTTTAAATAAATGTATCCGGTGTCAACTCATTCATAACTATTTGCAAAATTTAAACAAATTCCCTTTGCATTTCTGAAAAAATGTTAATTTTCCTTTACAAGTAAAAGAACACTGTTTCTTCCTTCAGGTTATTTCCACATAAGTTATAATTATCACATAAAAATTATACAACTTGAGTATGCTTGATCGAAAGGTGAATACTAAAACTCAAATGAAAAGCAAATGAAAGCATTAATTTTGCATGTTATCTGAAAATATGTGTAATAATTGCGCAGGTTATCTGCATGACCTCTGTATAACTTTGGTTAAAAATGGGGCTAACATAAACGATATTCTTACGCTCAGTACATACGATATTTGCATTAAATGTCAGATAATAATTGAAATTCACTACTTAACTTGTTTCCTCTATTCTGGCGGCTTCTTCTGTTAACATGTCCAAAGCAAATCTTTATCAGTACTTGTAACTATACTCAGCATTATATAATTTTAAGATTTTATGGACATATATTGTAAATTGTAAAAAAAAGATACCCATGGTCCACATCGCTAAATTAAGTCACCACTCTCTTATGTTCTTTATCAGCTGATTTTGTTAAAACTAACCTTTTTTGGGCCCTATATTATGGACAAAATTCTGGGCTTAACAATGTTCGATCCTGATATTTAAAGTCTTAAACTTTTTTGTCTTGTGTATATTTTTAGTTTTTACATAAGTAGCATAACTAAAATTCTGATAAAAAAAACTGGGGTCAATATGCTTCTTTTGGTATAACAGTAAATTTAATATGACGTTTATTGCACTGAAATTTGTGTCTTAACTAACAATTACATATACGTTTTCCCTCCAATATTTTTATCCAATTAAAGCATTAAAAAAGAACTCTAAGTGTATTTTAAAAAAAACACTTTGAAATTGTGAATAAGATTGATTGATTGATTGTATATTGTTTAACGTCCCTCTTGATATTGTTAATATGAAAAGTTGAAATTGCTTCACATCATCAATTATTTGACCTTTCTGCACAAATAATATTTTCTGGCATTAAACATTTGATAAGCAAGTAAATTATTTTAAAGTCTTAATCTTTTTTCTAAATTTAAGCAAAAATGTCAAATTTATCTTAAATATTTAGAACAAATATCAAAAGTGGGGGTATACAATGTATGATGTAAATTTTTGGATATTACTAAAAATACGTGTAAATTTTATGTAAAAATTGGCTTCATTTTTCCTGGATTTTCAGAATATTTTTGTTATTTTTGTCACACATTGTTGAATGAATTCATTGGAAATAATTTAATAGATAATTAAGAACCAGCATATTTCACTACAAAAAACAGCTTTGTGTACTACTATCATGGAAAAATCGTAATTTAGAATAGAATAGAATTTGATTGCTTTTCTTTCATTGAATAAAGTTCAATTTGCATTGTAGATATCAGATTTCATCCATATTGAATGTTAAAACTAAAAGGATGTAGAATTCTTTTTTAGTAAAAGACAGGACCAAAATCCATTCCAAAGCTAAGGATTGAACGCCTTTAAGAGATCCTGAATATAAATTGAATCTGAATCCATGCAAAACGAGAAGTCTTATATACACAACTGTTCTAGAGAATTTTTCCCTGGTCTGGACTTCTTATCGCGGATAACTCTAACAACAAGTATTATTTTGGTTTACCACAAGCTAAAAGACTGTGATTTTACATAACTCAGGAATGTTTTTTTATTTGTGGGTTTTTGAGTAATGTCGCCGTGCTGAAAGAGATTTTGCTAAATTAACTACTAAATCTGGTGTTCTTGAGAAAAAAATTTCATAACATTTTTTAGGTTAAATTGACGATCATCTGATCTAGATTCGCAGGGCGGGGTTGATTTCAATTGACACTACATGAGGATGCTTCGGTACTAATATGAGTTAACATGGTCTGTAGTTCTTGAAAGTTTAATTTATGAATTCTCCGACTATGTTTTCCTACGTAAAAGTTTGATCTCTTTTAGTGGCTCCATAAACCCCACTTACCTTGGGGGTCAATAATTGATCAAACTTGCATCAACACTGTCGTTTGATGTTTCAATATAAAAATGATTAATCATGGTGTTGTCGTTCTTGAGAAAAAAGGTTTTAAAAGCATTTTTTTTCCACATTACATTTTGAAAGTTTGACCCAGTTCTTCAATCTACACTACTTGAGGTTATGTTGTTATTGATTTGACTAAATATGGGTTTGAAGCATTTTTTCCCTATGTATTCCACTGTGTAAAAGTTTGATCATCCACTATGACTTCACTTACCCTGGTAATGACATGCCAAATGAAACTTGTGTACAATCAGAAATGTTTTAAAATATGCCATTACATTTTCATTAATTCTGTAATATAATACCTAGGAAGAAATTGAGGCAGTTAATTAGATCAAACTCGAATTTCTCTTGCCCAAAGATACTTATTTTGTCTTAAATAGGCTATGTGGTTCTGGAGAAGAGGTAAACTTCATCGACGACTAACAACGGTCAATCTTTTATCACAAAAGCACACATATATTATTATCTCAAATTCAACTAACCTTTCCATGAAGAATAAGGTAAATAACGAAATACATCAGAATATCTTGACTTCCTTTTCCACTTTGCATCTGAAATACACAAACTTTTACATAAAACATTTGTCAACAAGTAGTTGGCATCAAGCGACTTTGTAAAACATCAAAGTACTATCGTGTGTATTTACTAAGAGGAAAAATGCAAATTGATCACATAAAATGAACAAATGCACATTTATAGTTCAGTAGACGACGATTCCTTATAATTATTTTATAATTATCAAATCATAATAAACAGAATATTTTTCCATACTTGTTTTAATTCATGAATGATCACATGTAAAGTATAACAGCTAAAATGTGAAATAAATCTATGGATTGATATCATTTAAATCTGAGATATTTCTTAGTGATATTTGCTTTAAAATGTCAGTAACTACAAAGGCAAAATTATTCAAATTGTACGTATTTCTTCGTTGTAACTTAAAACTTCATTGACATAAGTAAAAAAAAGAAAGAACAGATTTCTTATATTATTAATGATAGTTAAATTTAAATTGTCTTTGCTATCTCAAATATATAATATTCATTTAATAGAAATATATTAAAATTTTCAAACATCATTTAGAAATTGAACTAAAATACTTCAGCATTAAACTCTTACAATTACAAAATATTCTTGTCTTTAATACCTTCATATGCCGTCTTTTGACTTTGCCTATTTTCAACTTCTTAAAATTTCTCCACCTTTATCAATTTTATACACAAGAGACCTCTCATTCTAAGAAATAGGGTTGAATTTTTAAAACAAATATTTATTTAAAAAAAACCAAACAAAAGTTATTTGTTTTATCAAATATCACAAAGATAGAAAAATGCCAAAAAGTGTAACCTTGCAGACATTCAGTGTATTTGGTTTCAGCCATTGACTATTTCGTCCAAGTAACGAAAAATAAAAACATTTTTTTTTCTAAATAATTTTTTTTGTCATTGCAGCTTTAGATATATTTTTAACAGCATACATTCTCTACTTGTGTAAGCCCACGTTAAAGTTGTCAAATTATTTGATGTGAATTATTATCTTCTGTTCAAGATATTTACAGATATTATAATAAAGAGAACTTTTCAAGTTGTTTAAAATAATCTTTTCCTGAATTTTCTTTGACTTAAAATGGTTTATTTTCAGAGTTTATCATAATTTATGTAATTTAAACTATTTAAGGATATTTATATTTCTATTTTATTATTCATTAAGTCTAACATGTAAGATATTAGTTATCATTTTTAAGGATTTACCAGCAGCTATGCTACTATTTATAGAAATTTTCAATTAGTTGTTTTTTGTCAACTAGTCGCATGATTTTTCGGAGTGATTTTTTTATTTTTCATTTCTCTGGTTTCCGTGCCCAAAGGTGTTATGTTTTCTTAAAGTTGAAAAACTTTTATGAGAGTATAACATTGGATTAAGCATTATGCTACAATCAGTAGAAACGATTTTTTTCTTTTCCCTACTTTACCTATTTAATGTGAATGTTAAGCAGTATGAAGGAGTGAATGTCTTCTTTGGGATTTGTATGAAAGCTGTATATAAATATTTAGATAAATGTAAAAGTATCAAACTAAGTTTGTTTTATTTCTAATGAATATAAGGTACATAATCAAGAATAAAGAAAATGAGTACATTAAAGAAATTATGCTTTCAAGAATACAAATTCTTTTCATTATTATAAACAATTTCTTAAATTCAACAACATACCCGGATATCTTGTTTTATTACCTAATCCAAGGAATTTTGTTGTTTTATTATAAATTAAATATTTCATATATAGAACACCATGTAAGCTAAACAAAGAAATCTGACAGCTAGGCAGGTTTATTTTAGACCAAATCTTTGCCCCTCATCTGTGTCGTTCAAAATACAGTAAAACTCGGTTATAGCGAAGTCCTGGGGACCTTTGAATTTAATTCGCTATATCCGTAATTCGTTATATCCGTATAACACATTTGTATAACTACATATAGCGAAATTGCAATATGCTTGTTTTCCTTTAAGTATTACTAAAATCGGTTCGCTATATCCGTAAATTCGTTATATTAGATATCGTTATAACCGTAAAATTTTACAAAGATTTGCTAAGAAATTTGCCGGGGACCCAGAAAAACCTCGCTATATCCGTGAATTTGCTATATCCGTGTTCGCACTAAACGAGTTTTACTGTAGTTCCCTTAACATTCAGTATTGATTTCAAATGCGGTTATTTCCTATGTATCTGAAATCATTTTTTCTTATTTTTTTTTTTTCAATTTATATAGCTTGAAAGTTTTTAAAGTTATTGGTTATTCTACATTTATTATACCCCCCGCTTGAAAAGCGGGAGGGTATATAGTAATCGTTAATTCCGTCCGTCTGTACGTCTGTCCGTCCGTCCGTCTAGCTGTCCGTCCTTCCGTCTGTCCGTCCGTCCGTCTGTTACGCTTTGGGGTACCCATCTCTTATCCGCAACTCCTCTCATACCACTGAATGAAATTTGATGCAACTTTCACAGAATCTTTATTACATATTGCCATTGTGCACCTCCTATTTTACTTTTTGATCCGACACATATTTTGGGTTTCCCGGCCACAGGAAAAAATGGACTTTTTCACCAGTTATAACCATATGGGAGGCGGGGGGTATCATTTAGTGAGCTCATCGCTCACAGTACCTCTAGTTTAGTTTGTGATTATCAGATATTATGAATATTATAAGCTTATTTGTAAATAGTTTATGACACGTACTTTTGTATGTTAAAGTTTGGATAATTTTCAGGCATGTTGATGTCATGACTAGTATTCCTGTTCAAATGTACATTTAGAGATATAGCAGTTGTATTTATAACCTCTATTGTGTATTATAGGTTCATGTCCTATTAATCATATCACCAACAAACTTATGATTGAAGATTTTATTATTCACTTCCACCACAGTTTCATACATGTACATCAAGTGTGATTAAATTCATATACGCGGAATACTTTTCTTTTGTACTAATTTAGTGTACTTAAAAGTACACCGCTTAGAATAGCCAAGTGGCCAAGCGATTTTTATTTTCAACGTTTGACTCTTTTCCCATTGTGTAACTTGGATAATTTTGACATTCTTTCGGTACCTTATGTTTTGGTTGTATCTCAAGCACAAGAAACATGTTCTATATTATCAAAAAAGCAGTGAGATAATGAAAATCACAACAACAAAACAACCTCGACCAGTTTCAATTTGTATTAGGGACCAGGCAAAATTTATCACCATGATGGGACCAGTACAAAACAAAATTCTCATTTTAAAAAAGTATGTGTCCCATGGCATTTTACTTGAAAAAAAAAATATCCGTCCCATGCTTTAAGACTAAAAAAAGAAGTTATTGTCCCATGGTAACATCTTGTGCCCTTGATTGGTGAAAATAATCGATAATTATACCCCCGCTCCGAAGGAGAGGGGGGTATACTGTTTTACCCTTGTGTGTCTGTCCGTCTGTCTGTCTGTCTGTCTGTCTGTCTGTCCGTCTGTCTGTCCGTCTGTCTGTGTGTCCGTCCGAAACAAATTTTCGTCGCAGTTTTCTCAGCAACTACTCATTGTAGATGTAAATTTTAACACAATCTTCTCTGAGGCATGCCATACGGTGGGATTCATTTTCGTTCAAATCCGATGTCAACTTCCTGTTTGTCTGTGCATCTGTTTCATACATAACAAATTTTCGTCGCAGTTTTTTCTGCAACTATTGATTGCAGATGCTTGAAATTTTAACACAATCTTCCCTGAGGCATGCCATATGTTGGGATAAATCTTTTTTTTTTCAAATCGGATATCAACTTCCTGTTTGTTTGTGCATCTGTCTGTTTCACAAATAACAAATTTTCCTCGCAGTTTTCTCATTAGCTATTCATAGCGGATGCTTCAAATTTTATTACACTCTTTGTTTAGGCATGCCATATGGTGGGATTAATTTTGATATGAATCTGATGTCAACTTCATATTTTTCTGTGCATCTGCCTGTAATTGAACTTGTGTATATTAACATGATAGTGCTTATTTACATCAGAGCGGGGGTATTACTACTGAGCATTGGCTCACAGATTTCTTGTTTTTTTTTGTTTGTTTATTTTTATAATTTGTAATAGTATTCATTAATTTGAAGATTTATTTTGCTATTTGAATCCTTCATTTGACTTTCGAAGATACAACCTTTTTCGGAAAAAAAAGAATGTATATATACATATTTTTAAATATAATGATTTTCTCTCTTGTGTTAGGCTGTTTAAAATAAATTCGATTTTTAACGTCATCCGCACGCCTAGGTTAAGGAGAAATCCGTCTTTTCACCTTTTATTCAAAACGCGATCAATATCTGAAAATGAGTTTTTATACTATTAGCTTCTAAAAACACATATATTGTCTAACTCTTATTTATTTATGTGCCAACTTATGTTTCTATGTGCCAATCTTATGTTACATGTGCCATTTCCTTAATAAATAAACAAACAAACAAAAACAAACAGAACTTAAAAAAAAAAAAAATTCAGAATTTCGTATATCCGTTCCGGTTTGGTTCTACATTTAACGACCTAATTCTGCTTCCTGTAGTGACAGAAAAATGGGCTGTGATACTGCAGAAAGGCAGTTGATGTCTTATGAAAGAAGACTGATAAATTAAACAGTATGGGACCATAAATGTAAGTAGAAAATAGATGACGTTATGAAAGAAGATAATGCCAAACTCCAGTTTGTTGATTTTTTTTTGTCAGTCTTCGAATCACAGACTCAGTCTCAGTTCGTGATTATGTTGCCTGAAATTTTCATCGAATTTTGGAGAAAATCCAAACTTTACTAAGTGTGTCAAAAACCTGCAAGATTTTATAACATAGATTGAGATGCATCATTTAAATTTTTAAAATAACTTCATCTTAAAATTTTTCTGTAAAAATTTAAAGGAACAGTAAAATAAATTTCTTCATAAATGTAGTATTCATGTACCTACATATAGCTACAATTTTTGGAAAGGATAATACTAGTCATTTCCATTTGAGCAGAGAGAAGCTTACAGAAGATGGGGCCTTTCAAATGAAGGAGAGTAAGGGAAGTGATTGGGCTATTCCAAGAAGTGAAGAATCAATTGTCATGTGTTCAAGATAAGATAATCTAACAGCTACAGGTACATGTATTGGTCCAAATATTGGTATTTGCACTTTCAAAACTAAATGCTTGTAATCTAGTACTATAAGTAAAAATACAGCATAATTAAAGAACTTTATTCGGTAATAACCAATATTTGCCCCCCAAATCAAACTTTGATGGAGGTATATTTAATTAAGTTCTTAAACAGAGGAGTATATGCTGACTTCTAAGCACTGAATATTTTCATAAGTAATGACGTTATATGTACGTAATGAGGTCACAAACATGACGTAAATTTCAGTTTTTAATGAATTCTACAGAAAAAAGTACATATTTCGTCGATATTTTGAGTAAAAGTCACCGAGCGCATGTGTGTTCAGGATCAATATTTTGATATAATGTGTAGAATGATAATATCAATGAAATATGTAAATATTAATCCTGAACAAACATGCGCTCTATATTTTTAAAAGCTAAAATTGTTGAAATTTTGTCAATTTTGTCCTCTTTCTGAAAAAAATTCTAAAATTGGACTAGTTTGTGACGTCATAAAAACAAAAATTGTGAATAAACTGCTTTGAAACTATAATATGTTCTGTTAATTTATATTTCTCATACAATTTATTGAA